GTATTTAGATTTTAATGCACATAAAAAATAGATATTTAGTATTCAGTTGAGCTAAGCTTCTATCCTCATTGCTCCAATCACTAAACGATACTTCAATATTGATGCTATTAACAAAACAAAAATGTGCATAATAACATTTTTGTGCTAAAAATTATATGAAAAAATCAATAGATTGCAAGAAGGTAGACATGTAAAATTTTTAAAAATTAAATGATATATTATTAAACAAAGGTGGACGAGTTATTGATATTTTATTAGGGATCATAATTCCGAGATCCCTTCTGATACTAATTAAAAGTTTGATGAAGGGTGTTTAAGTCTCGTTGAATTGTCCCTAGGCACACCAAGAGGGGGGAAGGGGGGGGGTGTGAATTTGTTCTTTAAAAATTTACTCATTTTAAAAATACTTCACATTAATAATGAGTGCACACGGAAGAACTTAATAATAACTAATATACCTTTACTTTAATTGATTTTCTTAACACATATCAATGATATTTTTTTTTTCAATTTGTTTCAACAAGAGTTAAAATTAAAGCCAATGTGATATAACAATACTTAGAATTTAAGATACTAATATGATACCGATACTGATATAGACTAACTAGATAGTATGTGTACATACATCATTATAAGATTTTACTACATTAATCTGATCTTGACATTTCCTTACATTTGGATGCTTTAGTTTTACAACTTTTATATGACCGCTTTACTAATTGATAGTACTAATACGAAGACAGTTTTTTGGATTTAACACCAATATTGATTTATTGATTTCTCCACTATATTATTTTACTGGCTTCTATACCATATTGTTTTACTATTTGCATATTCTAGTATTACTACATGCGAGTTTTACTATTTTTATACAGATTTTTAATCATATGACAATTACTATTATGAATTGAATGATGGCTTGCATATTATTTTTTTTATCCTGTTTTAAATTTAATTATTGGATTTAAGTGTGATATGCTGAGCTATTTATATCATTATATGTTGCTTAAATGATTTCAGATCTCGACAAGTGAGCATGAGTAAGAGATTGATTAGATCCCTCAGGTTCTTTTTCTTTTATTTTAGTTATTATTTTCTACTCAATATTTGAATAGACATGATATGATTGTATGATTTTTTTATATTATATATGATTTTTAGGGAATGAATATATATATATATATATATATTTCATTTATTTATTGATTGATGTTTTGATAGATAATTTTATTTCTATTGGTACTTATATTGATAAAAGAAATTAGGTAGCTCCGATTGTTGTATATTAAAAGATAAAAGAATAATTCTTTCAAATTAAATTCTGGGACATTGTAGAATCATTCATGGAGCCACCATCAATGTAGTTTGTATGTCGACAACATCACATACTTCTACATGTGATATGTCAACATCATCACCTACACCAACAAAAAATGGTGAACTAATTGATCTTCCATTATTCTTATCATCATAAATTTTGCAAATAAATTTTTTTGAGAAAAAATGGCACACATATGAGAGAGATTAGTGTTAACTTAATAAAAAATTCTCATTAAAGATAAAATAATGTACTAATCAGTTCATAGCTTGGATAATTACAATTATGGACTGCACTCCATGGAATTGATACATCACTCCAATCTTAAACTAAATTCATCAGATATATTTGATAAATTTCATGTATTATGAGGCACATAAGGTTACATTTTTTTAAAATAGTTTAAATATTATATGATAATTTGAAAATATATGATATTTTTCAAATTATTTTACTCATCATAAGGTTACATTTTTTTTAAATAGTTTAAATATTATATGATAATTTGAAAATATATGATATTTTTTAAATTATTTTACTCATCATATGAATTTTTTTATTTCTTGATGCTATTTGGCTGGCAGGTTGGTTGAGCTCAATCTTTATGTTAAGATTTAAATATAATAAGCATTCATTTTTATTATCCATCAAATATTCAAAATTAAAACTAAAATTAGCTTACATTTTTTAAAATGATTAGAGAGAAAGTTATTTTCTTCCTATTTTTATATTATTAATATAGGAGAAAATGCAATAAGTAAAATAGTACATATTATTTATAAGATTAAATGAAATTTGATGGATTATATAGACCAGATTTGCCAAAATTCTTTTATGGCTTTAGCCTTTATAAAGGATTTTTTCAAAGAAAAAATTAATTCCAAAAATCTGGCTTGCTTATTCAAATAACTAACAAATAACAAGAAAATAAAACCCTTTTTGAATGAAATAAAAATTTATTAGGATCAGAGAAACAACAATCAGCTTCTATCAAACACAAAACCAATATGTCAAGCAAATAAATATATATATACATACTCGTACATAAACAAAGTTTTAAATTTAATGTTCTCTCAAAAGAAAAATAGCCATGGCAATCAATAGAGATAACAATCGATAGAGATGTATTCATGTATTTGTCTGTATATATATATATATATATATATATTATAAAAGCTTTGCCCTCTTAAATTTTGATCAACCCTTTCAACTCATCTCAGTTGAAATCTTAGGCTTTGTTTGAGATAGCTTTCTTTCTGCTTCTTAAAGCAGCTTTCTTGTACAAAAAATAAAAATTTTGTTCTAAAAAGCGGCTTTACGAAGTAGAAAGAAAGCCGCCCGAAACGAAGCTTTAGTTCCATCGCTATCATGTGTTTAGTTATGCTTGAATACATGCATGCATGATGGAGTAAGAATTCATTCTAGAAGATTCAAAATCAATCCATAGTTGAATCAAAATCTGAATCCCACCTTGAGGAAAGGCTCACTCTTATGGTTAACAACACTATTGTATAAGCAAAGAAAACTTTCTACCCAACAATCTTAATTAAAAGGCCGAATCAGATATCCCATGTTGTTTCAAGAGTTCACGACTTCGTTTTACTACCATACAACAACAACAACAACATCAAGCCTTTGTCACACTACATGGGGTTGGCTACACGAATCATTTTTCTCCATTATGTCAAGTTAAAAGTCAAATTCTCATTTAAATCTAATAAAAAATATCATTTCTAATATTTTCATATTTTCTAACCAATTCTTTTTATGTCTACCTTTACCTTTCTTAACTTTGTTTTACTGCTATGCGAAACAATTTTTTTTTTCCTTGTGAACTCACATCAAGTCACATTCAAAGGAAAATAATACTATGAATGCTAAGACAACTTTGGTTCTTATTTTCTGAGCCTTGCTTAAAATCTGACCTTCAACAGTCTAAAACTTAAGTTATCTTCCTATGTATCTTAAGAACATAGTCACTTCTACAGAGTATGGTACTTATTGAGGTTTGCAATATAAAACACAAAAGCAAAAGCTTGAATCCCTGCATCTTCTTGAGCTGCTCTTATCAGTATGACTGTCAAAAGTGTAGAATAAAATATTATGCTCTCATATTACAAGTCATTCAATATAATTTAGTTTATATGCTAGTGTGGCCATTGAGTAGGTTGGCATTAGTTCGACCAGCACCATTATTAGGGTATTGCATTCTATTTTCTTGCATTTCAATTCTTTTGATATTTAATTTGAAGAAAAAATCATATATAAAGTAAATTTTTAGGAATTTGAAAAATGCAAAATCTATATTTTCGATGCACTTAAAAATTGGTCAAATCGGAATATTTTCAAATCCAAGGTTACATCAGCTCTTGATTCTCGCATGTTGCTTCCACCAGTCGTTGCTTGCCTGCTACTCCATAACACCACCCGCCACCCACTGATACTGTTGGTTGCCTATTTGGGTCGCCAACGCCTAACCTCACAAGCATTTCAATGCATTTGAAATACACCATAACAATAATATATATATTTTTAATGCATTAGATTTGCATCCAACAATATTAATACACACATTCTAATTACTATGTATTTATAAAAAAATATAAATATATTTTAAACCCAACCCAAAAACCACTAAACCAATCTTCCACATGATTGAAAATGTTTTCTAAAAAGTTAAGCAAAGAAGAAAGCAACTAAATGAATCCATATCTATTAATTGCTTAGCACAATTATATATCATATATGCCTTTTCATTAAAGCTACTATTGAACCCTTAAAGGCTTAAAATTTAAGTGCTATGTGCATCATGAAGATCACCATGATTAAATATCACATTGCTATGTAGGATTTGAACATGTCAAGGCAAGCTTGACTATACCAAAAGAAGCCCTTCCTATTCAAAAACTTGATAAAATGAAGACTAGCAAATGTATAGTGAATAAATAAATCAAATTAATCTAAAAACATCAATACATGCATCATTATATAACAAAAGATGCACATCCAATCACTTCAATCCTTCCAAAAAATAAAAAAAAAATGAAGAATTTTGATTGTATGAACTGAAATTCCAATCAATAGCTCTTCTCACAAGCACCAATAACATTAAAAATGTGATGTGTCTCTTCCACCCCTTTAATTTCACAATAAAATATTCATTTCATAACCATTTTTCATGATTCAAAGTTCTACTGACTCTTTCAGACCTCTACTATCACCTCAAATAAAAAAAACAGGAAGAAACAATCAAAATTTGAAGCAAGAGATCAAAAACCATAGCAAACTCAGAGAAAACCATGTGCATGACCGATTTTAGTAGAAAATCTGTATTTATTTTAATACTGAACCAAATGAGGCAAATATAGGCTTGTTGTAAAGCTAAGGTTCAGAGCTTCAAAATGGTCCAAATTTTTCTTAAATTGGTTCAGTGTAGGTTAAGTTATTCAATGAACAAGAGAGGGGGAAAGCACACATCAGCTAAGCTTTAAGTCCTTCAATCCCAGCCCACTCTTATCCTTACCTCACATTGAAGAGCATTCGCAACCGTTGATTAGTAAAATATCCAAAGGCCAAAATTTAAAACAATTCCCGAAGGGATCCGCGGAAGTGACCATTATCCAATGGAAAATTTCCACGTGTGATCCGTTTACGCTGCCGCTCGGTATTTAATCGCAATTTCCTCCTTCGTCGTCCCGCACATCGGTAGATCTCCGACCTTCCTCTTCTTCCGTTCAGTCTGTCTACAAACCCTAATTCGAGCCTCACTTAACATCCCAATTGTTCCCAATGGCTACCGAAGAGACCGTGCAGCCGGTAGTGGAGGAGCCTACTACGGATTCTCCCCCGGCGGAACCCGCAGCCGATAAGCCAGAGGAGACCGCCGGCGAAGAGAAGAAGGAGGCTGCTCCGAAGAAGACAAAGGCGAAGAAGGCAGCGGCGCCTCGCAAGCCGCGCGCTGCTGCCACTCATCCGTCCTATTTCGAGGTAATTCAAATTCTCCAATATGTATTTCGGATTTTTTATTGCATCGGATCTGATACCTTATCAATTGGTAAACTCTAGATGGTTGGCGATGCGATAACTTCGCTTAAGGAGAAATCTGGATCGAGCCAATACGCCATCACTAAGTTCCTTGAGGAGAAGCATAAAAATCATCTGCCTTCCAATTTCAAAAAGTTGCTTCTGGTACAGCTTCGTAATCTCACCGCAAATGGAAAGCTCACAAAGGTGAAAGGCTCATATAAACTCTCTTCCGCCGTAAAAGCTAAGACTAGCAAGCCTACTGTATCTAAGAAGCCCACTACAGCGGCTTCAAAGGCCAAGAAGACTACCGCCGTGAAGGCCAAGCCAAAGCCCAAGGCTGCTGCTTCCAAGCCAAAGCCAAAAGCGAAAGCAAAGCCAGCTGCCAAGCCTAAGGCTGTTGCGAAACCAAAGCCGAAGCCTGCCACCGTTGCGAAGCCCAAACCCGCAGCGAAGCCTAAGCCCGCAGCGAAACCCAAACCGGTTGCTGCCGCGAAGCCAAAACCAGCGGCGAAAGTTGCGAAGGTAGCGAAACCGAAGCCAAAGACCACAACGGCTAAGCCCAGCACGCGCCCATCGAAGGTTGCGAAGACCTCGGTGAAGGACACTCCCGGTAAAAAAGCAGCAGCGGCGGCAGTTGTTAAGAAGCCCGCACCTGCGGCAAAGAAGCCAGCAACTCCAGCGAAGTCTACGAGGGCTGCGAAGCCTCCGGCCAAGGCTGCTCCGACGAAAAAGACTCCGGCAAGGAAGGCCAAGAAGTAGATAGATATTATGTTATTTTTTCAAGCAAGCGTTTGATTTTTCTTTTTTGTTTTCCTTTTTTGAACTCGTCTCTTGTTTTCTCTATCACCAGAATGGCAGTGGTTGTAAATTTAAAGATGTTCTTAGGGCATGTTGACATTTTCTGTTACATCATTGTTTCTTCCTTAAAAATCTGTGCTTTGCTACAAGAAATTTTCCTGTTTTTAGTAGCTACGAACGGGGCAATGGATCACCTGCTAATGAAATGAATTGTTTTAGTTTGGAATGAATCAATCAAACGTTTGATAATGCGTCTTGTTAGTTTAATATATTAAGCGTTAAGATTGTTTCTTAATTAAAAATATTTTCTTGATTTGCTGTTTATCAGTATTATATTTATAAATATTAAAATGAAATTTATTTTAAAAATAAATATTTTATTTTGAATAGTTGAAAAAGCTTTTGTTTTCATATCATAACTATGCACATAATATGAAGTAAATAAGCAAAACTTTTTAGTAAGATTGTGACACTTTATAGTACATTAACTGACACATTCATAATACATATATAGAGTTACTAATATTTCTCTTTAATAATTCCACAAAAGAAAAATCAGATATCTCTTAATTTGTATCGTGAAAGTTATTCTCATAATTTAAGTTTTCATGTCCCGCTTCACCAGGACATATAGCAATCAATGAGTAACCTACACTCTTTACAATTCTTAGGTAGGTTAAGTCTCATATTATGGTAAGATGGAAGCTTATAACCATGACTTATAGCAATTATAGCATCCATATCTTTCTGTGTATATGGTGAATTTAGGGCATTGAAAGGGATGCAACAATAAAAAAATCACCTTTCTACAGCTATGTCAGCATGATGTATTGTTTCCTTAGATGCTAAGACATTTTTCATTAAAGGTTGGGAACCTGATTTTGTTCTTAGAGCAAAAAAAAGTGTCAATCTCAACAAGCTTTTTCTTCCCCTTAGCAAGTTCTGATAGATGTGCTTCAAAGGATTGGGATTTAGATAGGGAGGAAGAATCCTTTCATTCCTCTACTTCAACATCTATTGTAAACAATGTATTGCCTAACTCCTCCTGTACTTGTTGTTTTCTATTTAAAATATCTTTTAAGTTCTCCTGCATTTGAAATCGAAGATCATGTGGAACTTTCTTGCATGCTGCTATAATCCCCTTAACTCCTAGATGTTTTATTCTATTTATTCATCCTCCCTTGTACACAATACCACAATACAAACATATGAATTGTCTCTTCCCCTCAACTCCTTTAATCTCAATGAAATAATTCCACGCAAAATCCACCTTCTCACGCACACTACAACTTGAAGCAGCACTTTGAGTTCCCAATGCTTCCATCCTTTTATGATCAACTAAATACAATCACAACAATGAGTTTCATATGAATTATGAATTTAAAGATTGAAAATAAAAGTTTGGGCAAGAAAAAATAATATCTTTGATTGAAAATCGACTTCCAAACACATAACAAATCAACTCATGAACATGGATTCATCATCTACATTGAACAATTCAAGTAGTCCTGCAACAAAAAAAAAAAAGTTTTCTAGTGTTGTCTTTGATCGTCAAGGATCGCTGGAAATGATTAACAAAAATCATCAAATTCGAAGTGCCCTACAAGTTTGCCTTTAAAGTCGAGGCCAAGAAGGTAATATATGCTTCTCCTCCTGTTTTCGAATAATAATGGCATGAACGTTTTATTAAAGATGTTAAGTTTTGCCTAGTAAGACATGTTGCATTCAATTGCCATATAGCAAGTGCTTCGGACCTCATTAAATTGCAGAAATAGCGAGTTTTATAACTCCTGAACGAAGTGTAAATAATTGTGGAATTTCTGTATAAAATGATTTCATTTGATATAGCGAGAAAACTAAACACAGGAGTTTAGGACCCTTAATTGCAAAATTATTTTGAATCTGCCATATCAACTAATGAGCAAAAAATGTAAAAAAAAGAATAAAACAAAAGTTAAATCTCACGGTAAGCGGGCGGCTAGGATGGTCGGAGGAGGATTTCGCCGGCGGCTGGGGTGATCGTGCTGCTGATATTAAGAAAGGAAGTCATCTAACTAATTCAAAGAGAGAAAAAAAATGTAAAAAAAAAAGGTTTAGATCTCACAGTAAGCCGGCGGCTGGGATGGTCGGAGGAGTTCGCCGTGGATGGGATGGTTGGAGGAGTGTGCCGGCAGCTTGGATGCTCGGAGCCTCGAAGGAATTCTTCGGTTCTTTGTTCTTTCCCCCTTATGCTTTAGTCGTCGAGCGAATAGGGGAACGACCAAACAATAATGAATCGCGTATTTAGTGTAGAGCGCGATTTTGAGGCTTATTATGGCGTTTGATCATATTTTGACGGCTGAGATTTGTCACACTTAGAACCGTCCGGTTCTTCAAAACCCGCCCGGTTCGGCGGTTCATCGGTTCAACCGTGGGTTCTTGACCGTTTCACTTCCAGCCGATTCTTTCGACTAACTGGACCGGTTCACGGTTAAATCGGTCGAACCGGCCGGTCCGATCCGGTTTTGAAAACGTTGATATTTAGTTAATTTAATTTAAATTCTATCACACCAAATAAGAATTATTCAACTATATATTTTTTGATGAGTAGTCAAAATTTTAATTTGTTTTTTGTTGTTTTTATTGTGAAATATGAAACTTATTATATATTAATTATTTATTGATAGTGATTGAAATTATGATCTATCATTTATTTGAAAAGTATTGTAGTGTTAATATTTGGTTTTAGTTCTTTTCAATATACATTTTTATTATATATTTAATTATGGGTAATTGTATTTTTATGAGAATTTTTAGCACTTTTATATTTAATTTATTTAAATGCTACATGTATATAATAATTATTATAATTGATTGCATTATAATGATAATGTTGATGTTGGCAAATGATTTTACATCGTATTTAATCTAGAGAAAATTCTTTGATTTGATTGAATTTCTTTAAAAAATACAAAATATTTATTTAAAATTCATATTATTTCATTTAAAATCCATAGGATTGATGAAAAGGTATTAATATAATAATATGTATAATGGTTTATTATGCTCATTTATATAATTTGAAAAAAAAAAGGCTTGCTGCACTTCATATAAGTTTATTTGTTTTTGACTCATTATATAAATGAGTTTTTTAAATAAATAAATTTGAGTTAATTGTTGAGTCAGTATAACTTAGATTTTTTTTTTTGATAGTTTGGCTATTATTAATTTGTTATTTTTAATATATTTTTGTATTAAAAAGTTATTTTAGAGAAAAGAACATCAAGAAATATTTCAAATGAAGCTATTTTGCAAGCTAATTTGGACTCAATTCAATCAATGAATGGTTAATTAAAATATTAATTTATATAAATAAATATAAATAACAAATAAATTAATTAATTTTTTAATCTAAACTAATTAGCTTATAAGTCAATTTTCTTATGAGTCAATTTGTGTAAATCTTTACTCATTAACTCTCTTTAATGATGATAATTGGATTTAATTGCAAGCTTTTGTTGTTAATCATGAAATTTTCTTCCTGTTTCAGATTTGTTTTGTTTGAGGCGACTTTTTTACTATTTCTTAAAGCAGTATTCTAGTAAAAAAAAATTTAATTAATCAAAACGCAAACCCTAGCAAAAATAAGCTCGACTTGCTCAACAGTTAAACTACAGCTATAGAGACAAGAACTAAACTCGCAATCTTTGAAATACCCTATAATGTCCAACAAACCAAAGATAAATCTAGGATCTGAATAGAGAGATGAATAAAAACAAATTCATCTCGTTTAGGATAGAACAAGGGAGATCAACACTGAATGATAAAAGTCTTATAAAAAAAAAACCAAGATCCCCTGATCAAACCAAATCGTTATGCTTGGGTAAATAAAATTTCATCAAGAAAAAACCCTCACTTAATGCAAGAAGGGTAAGATTACCTTTCAACTTCAAGGATTTAAGCATAACAGAAAGTAAATCTTCAAAATACGATCACTTACCAAAGGAGTAACCCACAAGAGTGAACGCCCATTTTTTCAATGCAGCCGACACATTCCCCTCAAAAAAAAAAAAAGAGCAAGATTACTTAAAAAGAGAACAAAAGAAATAGAAAATAGATTAGGGGGATATTAATAAGAAGCCAATACCACATTCCAAGCTTTCATGCGGAATGAGGAATCCATGACCTTTGCCAAAGTTAGTGGAAGAAAATCTTTCGAAAGATCCATACATAAACGATAGAAGAAGAAGATAGAGACACTCTTCCCTCAATAAAAACTCACTAGGATTTTCAAGAAACCCTAAGGGCATCTCCAACCTCCATTTTTCACTGCAAAATACTGCAAAACTCCAAAATGTCATGGTGCTGTTCCAAACGAACGCCATTTTGTGTGTTTTTGCGAAGGTAATGATCATTTCACGCCATTCTCCATTTCATGTGTTTTTCCGATTGAGAGAGCAAAATGGCGTGGGTGAACAGTACAACGCCAATATTGGCGTCGCACTGTTCAACGACAAATAAATGGCAAAAAAGATTTGACATTCGACTGGAACGACCGAATGACGCCATACGCTCGTTTGGTGTTCGGTTGGAGATGCTCTAAACCCCATCACCCCCTCCATAAGTCAAATTGCTTTATCCTTGCCATACTCGTGTGTATTTAAACGAATAAAGTGATGGAAGAAGGCAGGCTGGTCATCCTCCTCCATCATCACATTCATATCTTTCAAGATCAACAATGATCATATTAAAAATATTCATATGCTCTCTCAAATCTTTGGCATCCTCAATATGAACCCTAAACAGCACACATAAAAGACATTAAAAAAATAGATACAAAACTAAAAATAGAATATAAATGCCAATTTGTATAAATATCTACATACTCGTAATTATAGAACTCCTTAAGAAATTTTATAGCACAATTAAGGCAAAGGTGTTTGAATTAATAACTAATTTCGTTTTTAATTTTCTCAAAAATATCATTAATTTTAGATTAATTCACGATCATGCTTATAGAGCGTGAATAACAAAAGACAATATAGTTAATTACCAACGATTTTAATAAAATATTATAATGGCTTTTCAATTTAAATAAGAAAAATAAAATACAATCATTAAAAGATTTTACTAACAAAATAGCTTTAAGAGAGAAAAAACGTTGCAAATAATTTTCAGATATATAAACTTAAATAATCATTTTAAAGATTAAGACTTTATTTGATACAGCTTCCTTATTATTTTATAATATATATATATATATAAGACTAATTTCCATTTGGGGGTATGCATGGCTTCTCATAAAGTAATAATCATACTAATTTAACAAAATTCATACTTTAAGAATCTTAAAGGTAAATAATGATCAATGGTATGCATGGCTTCTCATCTGGGGATTTTAGGCATAGTTTTCACTGTTTTGTGCACCAAATCACACAATTAAGTTATCAATTAGTGTACAACAATAAATTAAGTGAATATTTTCTATATATTGTGACAATAAATAGTGCCAACACATACTATATTTCCCTTTCAATTAGTTGAGCTCACCAAAATTCCTCCAGGCTTCAATTGAAGGAAAACCACAAGGTGATAATATGTAAGCAATTTCGTCGATCAAAATAATTTTTAGCTCAGCTTCATCTGTGCAAACTTCTCTGCAACACCTATGGCCTCAACAGCATGAGTTGCATCATTTCCCTGTCATTTAAGCAGGTTTTTCCCACAGTTATTAGCTGTGCTAAGGAAAATGTCAGTTCATATATAACTACTAACCTGGCCCTGAGCAATGCCATTCTTCCCTCCACCACCCTTTCCACTGATAGGTTTCATTGCAGCGGTTAGCCACTCCAACGCTGCCAGACCTTTCAATGAAGGGTTGTTAGGGACTCCAGCACACACTACAGCTTTGTTCAAATTTTCATCAGTGCTGAATACCATCACTGCCAATCCCTGAGTGAAAACAAAGGAAGATAATAAGTTTTTTTTGTTTTTGTTTTATGTAGTGAAATTCAAAATTTATATGGTGGCTAATATAAATGATTCCAGCATGAAAGTGGTACCAAATAAGGGTTCAAGGCCTAAGGTATGCGATGTGTTTAAAAAAAGAAAAAGGGAATGCGGTGTGTTTGGGCTTTTGGCTTATATATCCTTTCTACTGAAAGAAAGCTCAAACCACTTGTATAGAAAACTAGGGAGGAATGTGAATCTATCCATTTAACAACCAATTTGAGAGGAATTCCACAGCATCATCATCATTAGCCTTATGTCAAGTATTTATGGTTTGTATTATAATCATCATTTTTCATTTGTTCCTATCGATGCTATAAGAAGTGTTAAATTTATTCTTCACAAATCATTTTGAACTTCCATACCTTCAAATTTGTTCATAATTGACACCACGGTTTTACTAACCAAATAACAAGTTTAAAAGAGAAAAAGAGAATTTAGATTACGAAGCTTTGAGATTTCGCTAAATTGTCAAAAGTGTAAGACTTTTGCAAATGATGGGATGTGCCAAACTCACCCTCTAAATCTCTATTTATAGATTTGGTTTGAGATTTAATACTGTAGGAAATATTACATTTGAGTAAAACTAGTAAAATTATATAGTAGGTCTTAACCAGTGCTTGTTCTAAAATGAATGAACATATAGCTAGTTTCTATTTGATCACTTAGGATACAAATATTGATTTCTACAGATGAGTTCAAGTGAACTTGCGTACCAACTTGACTAAGGCTTTCTAAGTTCTAGATAGTGGCTTTTGAGATCTTGGGCTAATAGCTATGGCAAGTTAGGCAAATAGCTTTAGCGAGTGTGCTAATAATACTGGTTAAACTAAATAAATTTGGCAACTTGAACTTAGTTAGTGATATAAATATCCCTTGGCTACTTGAACTTGACTTAGTAAGATGGGCCAACTTGCATCAAATCGCCTATTTGGGTGTACACTTCCGACGCTAATCTTATCAAAAAACATAAATAATGCATTTTCTAAAATTATTCTAGATGTCCAAATCATTTAAAGTCAATTTTTTATTACATACTCAATGTAGTGAACAATAATATTTTTAAGATCTAACATTTTTATCCATACAACATCATCAACTTAATTAGAGTTTTATAAATTTATCATTTAAATCTCAACATTATCCACTTATCACATAATACTGCTAAAGCATTTCTTCCTTTTAAAAACGAACATATTCTTAAAAGTTACATCCTCATTTATACCTATCAAAACAAGTTTAAATGGTTACAATGGATATTGTCTTGATGTCTTCATATTTGATTAGTTGAGTGGTATCTTTCTCATCCATCATACCAGCTATTTTACACTGTGAGACCCCGTCCAATTACAAGCGGTCAAAAACAGCTTATTTGGGAAAGTGCGAACACAAAATTTCAGTACCTCATCATTCCACATGTGTGCTTCCTACAACTACATCTTTCATCACACCACAATGCCTTTAACGCTTAACATGAAACTGTAGAATACTTCACTACAGAAAGTGGACTTTAACAGAAATATTTAGATATTAGTATAAAGATCAACATCCTCCTAATGAAGAAAATGATTAAACCTATTTTTAAGGAGCCCTAAAATTATCACAAATAAGTAAGAGCTTGGGCTACTAGAGATTAAGAAAAGGAAATTTTATTTCGAAACCCAGCCAAGTACATCAAAAGAATTAGGGTGTGTACGCTAGCTTCAAAACTTGATTCATTCAATACTTGGGTCAAAAAATATTTGTTCAAATCATTCATTAAGCCAAGGCAAAGACAGCAACATGCATAAAATGTCATTTCTTCGTAACAGTCTTCAACTAAACCCCTACAGTAAAGAGAAGTGAAGTTCATTACCTTCTGATCCATAATCCTCAGAACCGCCTCCCGAACAGCTGTGGTATCAAGACCCACAGATACCTGACAGATACAAAAAGGTTTTCCTTTTGATGCTGCTTCCTCCGCAACACTAGTAACTATACCAATAGCCCTTTCAATATTCTCCTCCCCCATCTTCTTTTTGTCCTTTCTGATTTGTCCCTTTTTAAATAAAAGAAATAGTTCATGGCAATCATAGTATACAATACCAAATTGCTACTAATTAAAACGAAAAAAAGAGGTATACACTACTTTTGGTCAATTAAAAATAAAAGATGCTAGCTAGACAAGTTGCCAATAATATGGTACCTCCAACTGAGAGATCTTTGCCTTCATATCAGCCTTTAAAGCTGCTGGAACAGATGCTTTATCTATTCTACTCTTTAGGTCTGCCACTTTCTGCATGAACAAAAAAAACAAGAAACATGAATGCCTTTATCTCAGTGCTCTAATTTGTTTGAATAACTGCATTCAACATTAGAAGGTATTGCAAACTGATATTTTTTTAAAGCACACTATTCAATATAAAACCACATTATCAAGGGAAGTTCTAATTAACGGGGTGAAGAAATTGCCTTAGGAGAAAAATATACCTATTTTTCAAACAGTGGTGAAAGGAGAAGATCAAATCCCTAAATCGAGAGCAAAAAACAGTATTGAAAGCTACTTGCACATTTCAATAATTAATAGGTTTCTGAAAATTATCAATTAATACTTTTGGTTGGAAGTTGGAACTATCAATTGATTATAATAGACACTAACCAGTTCAAATTTAGTTCCACCATAGGATAACATAATTGAGTCATTCGTAATGCATTAATGTTACAAGGAATTAGTAGCAGCCTAGAAGTAACTTAACTAGTAACGTACATGCTTGAGCCACAAGATCCGATCTAATCATAATATCAAATCTACTTATCATAGCAACACTAGCAAACTGCAACTCGAAATCATTATTTAGACAATCTCTGAATCTCAACAAGTAACATTTCTCAAATTAACAGAACTTTGAAGATACCTTTTCCTGTAAGGTTCCTTCTAATATGGATGTGGATGCAATCTCAAAATCAAGAGAAGTCGCCAACTCTAATGCTTTGAAAGCATATTCAGATGTGACTGCAGTTACTCTCCGAACACCTTTAGCAATTCCTTCCTCAGAAAGAAGTGCAAATGCTTTAGCTTCTCGAGTGTTTGATATATGAGTCCCTGATAAGTTGCAAACATCAGCAAAATGTAATTTAAATAGTTGTGCTAAAATTTAAACCTACCTCCACACAGTTCAGTTGATATAGATAACCACTGCTTGTTTTCTGGATCTGCGACAATATCTTCCACTTTTTGACCAACTGACACAACCCTAACTGGGTCAGGATAGACCTATCAAAGACAAAGTGAACATTGGCAGCAAAAGGGTACAAACTTCAGAAATAGACGCAAGAAGAGGCTTCCTAAACAAAACATCGGATTAAAAGCATACTTCTCCAAACACGGCTCTAAGACCAGCAATTCGCTTTGCTATAGAAAGGCTAGTCTCACTTGCATACACATCCAGTTCATCTTTGATCTGCTGATTCACAATGGCCTCAATCATTCTCAAGTCCTCAGGATGGACAGGTTTCCCTGTTCAAATTAAATGATTATGTAAAACAGTAGCCCCCTTATATTGGATGCAATTAATCAGATAATTGATACAGGATCAGTACCATGGGAGAAATCAAACCGCAACTTTTCAGGAAGAACAATGGAGCCCTTCTGATCAACATGATCGCCAAGGACTTCCTGCATCAATTTGATCAATTTGATTGAAAAGAAATAGGAGATACATCACAAATCCCTAAACAGAAGTACTCCTACCCGAAGAGCAAAATTCAGCATGTGTGTGGCAGTATGGTTAGGGGCAATAAGGGTACGCCTTTGGTAGTCAACCTGTTCATTTTAACGAGGAGCGACATAGAAAAGCATCTAATGTGAATGATCATTTCAACGTCAGAAATATTGACTTAAATTTTTAATTCATATTCCACCTTGCAAATTAGCCTTTCACCAACTGATAATGCTCCACTGTCTCCGGTAAAAGCACCAATATGAAGAACATATCCACCAAAAATTTGAACATTATTGACTTGAAATGATCCGGATTTCCCTTCAAGAGAGCCAGTATCGTATATCTGAGGAATTCAAACATTTTCTGTCAATTTTCACATTACATTTTCTTAGGACAAATAAAACAATTTAACCGCCAAAACATTAAGCAGAATAAGTCAATCATCAGCAGGATTTTTATGGAAAAAAAATATAATCAATAACCGCTTTTATTTACTTTACCGTGCCAAAAACTTCACCTTATTTAACAATTCAAGCATTATATGTTTACATCATACAGAACCAGGTTTCCCATTCCTTCAAGGGAATGCTTAAATATAAAACAGATGAAGAACGGTTAAAACTGCTGTCTCATCAGGTATGTGCTTGTCCAAAGATCATCCATAACGAAAACATACACGGCAATGATATTTTATAATCATGGAGTCAGCTTTACCTCAAAGTACAGACTTTGGGTCTTTCAGATCTGAACAAAAATCATCAAGATAGTGGACTTTTTTACTTTCCTCAACTAAAGTTCTTTATAATCTAAGACTACTTTAGATAGTTTCTTCCATTCAAACGATACCAGATTTGTGCTCCTAGGATTCTCCTTTGATAGATAGTCAAACTATTTCAAAGCAAAGTTGAAAAACCCACTCATGATAGGGACAATAAGAATGATATATAGAGAAAAACAAAGGTTGGAAAAAGGACACTAGCATTGCTCTGATACTACATAAAAAATAACTGCCTAGAATGCGTGATTTATTTATTCATCATGGGTATTTATACACAAATGATGCCTATTCCACCAGTGTATCTTTGTTGGATATTCATCCAACCATAGGGGTTATAAGTGTTATCACCCCTCCACCAAGAACAACCTTGTATCTGTTGACGTCACTTTTGACGAACAAAAACCTTATTTCCCCAAGCCTCATCTTTAGGGAGAGACTGAAACTGAGGAAGATGAGGAAAACAAGCTTGAACCCCTTGACTTCTCAGCACCACCTCAAACCTGATTCAACCTAAGTTCTTAAACCAAGTAGGAGAACACTAGAAATGCAAATTTAGACACTTCCTTTCAATAAAACATAAGAAAACACAAACGGAAAGACACTTAGTAGAAAACAAACATTAGAAATGGTTTAGAAAAATCACATAGGAAAGAAAGATACAAAATACATAAACAAAAACAACCCTCAAAACAAGCACGACTAGTTACCTCACATGCAATTAACAAAACTAGGGAAATACTCAAAGGAAAGGCCAAACTAGAGATCCACCAAAGATATTATGATCCAGCACTTTTATGCTCCCCTAGCAAATACCAAAAGAACATAGCATAACACAACTTAAAACTCAAAATATTTAGAGAAGAAAGGTAAAGGTAAAGTGAAACCGTGTAGAGAAAAAGTAGAAAGAAGATTGAGAGGAAGAACTGGGGTTAGAGAAAGATAGACAGCAAGCTAAGAAGAAACCCTCATGTTTATATTGTTTTCACTCACCAAAAACTGCTTTTAACTAGAGAAGAAAGATACATACAGAAGGGAAACCGTGGAGAGAAGAAGTAGAAAGAAGACCAAGAGGAAGAAGTAGCGGATAGGGAGAAGACAACTTGCAAGATAAGAAGAAACACTCAGGTTTTTAAAATAATCACTCTCCAAAAGCTCCTCATTAACTAGAGAAGAAAGATACAGGTGGAAGGAAAACCATGGAGAGAAGTAGAAAGAAGACCGAGACGAAGAAACAGGGGATAGGGGAAGACTAGCACGCATGCTTAAAAAACCCTTAACTTTATATTTTTTTCATTTCAAAACTCCTTTTCCACGACAAAATTCAACCACTATATATAGGAGAAAGAGGGGGAAAGAGCATTTATTTGCTCACATAAATGTGCCACCAAACAGCCAATAAAACCCACCCAAATCAGCCCACAAGTGGAGAAGCCAAAGCATTATGCACAGGGAAACAACAAGTGGAAAACCGAGCAGCCAGCAGTAAGGAAACCGAGTAGACAGCAGGGAAATCGAGTGTACAATAGAGAAACCGAACAACCAACAGGAAACAACCAAGCAACCATCAATCTTAGGGAAGGAATGGGCCAAGCCGAATAAGGAAAAGAAACACAAATAATCACCCAACCAGCCCCTAGAGAGCAAGATCAACACAAGTGGAAAAATAATTGTGTGAACCGACTTGAGAGCACCAAAATTGGCATGATCATGGGTTGTTTTCCATCATAGGGCCATACAAAATAAAATTACATAACATTAGAAACACAAGAAAAAAAAAACATAAAATAATAAATCTTGAATGCATCAAAACTGATCCTCCTAAACTTGAAACCAAACCAGGAAAACTAAGGACAAAACTATTATGGATAACATTAGATTTGCAAAGGTATACTCCAAGCATACAAATCCAAGTTATGTCCGAGAGCATATCTAAGAATCTAAACCGTCCCTCAAAATTGAGGTAAACACGAGTTCACCTAAAAAACCTCCCATGTATCCTTACATAATTTCTCACATTTACCAAAAAAATTTCTGGTCACACTAAATGATATCTATATTCCTAACAATATATTTCTGAGACCTTATCTAATGATAATTGAAAAAATGCCATAAAAGATGAAATGCATGCCCTAAAGAAAAATAATACCTGGGAGATAATCGACCTAATAGTAGGAAAAAGACCAGTCGGCTACAAATGGGTATTCTCTATGAAATACTAAGCTGATGGTACACTGAAAAGGTATAATAATAAAAGACTAGTAGCAAAAGGGTACACTCAGATGTACGACATTAACTATAAGGAAACTTTTGCACCTCTGTCCAAGATTAATGTTGTAAGGATCCTGCGCTCACTAGCAGCTAATTATAACTGGCATATGGAACAATTGGATGTAAAAAATGCATTCCTAGACAGGGACTTGGAAGAAGAAATATTTATAGAGATTCCACCTGGATTTAAGGAGAATTCTAGGGGTGACAAAATGTGTAGGTTAAAAAAAACTCTATATGGGCTAAAACAGTCACCTGGAGCTTGGTCTAGAAGATTCTCAAAAATCATGTTACTCAATGGATATCAGCAGAGCCAAGGGGACCACACTTTATTCTTCAAGCACTCATACTCAAGGGTAGTTACAGTTTTGTGAGTATGTGGATGATATCATGGAATAATAAAAAGGAGAAAGTGATTCTAAGGAATTATCTTGCCAAAGAACTTGGTAAATTGAAATTTTTTTGGGGAATTGGATTGGCCAACTCTAACAGCAGAATCTTCATTTCACAACAGAAATACATCATTGATCTTCTTAAAGAAACAAGTAAACTAGCTTGCAAAAAAGCACCAACACCAGCAGAATCAAATCTCAAATTGGGGGAAGCTAAAGAGAATCCAAACATAAATAAAGGAGCTTACCAAAGACTTGGGAAATTAATCTACTAGTTGAGAAACAAACTTAAGAAGAAGAGAGCTTCTTGAATCTACCTTGTTGTTTTGAATGAATCCATCACTGATTCAATCCTCTAGCAGTAGCACCTTCTCTCCTTTACACCAATCACCTGCTGCAGTAGCACCTCACCGAGAGCCAACAGGTTCTACTCCCCTGCAGCCTTTATCCTGCCTGTATCGAGAGCTGCAACTGCCCAAAGAATCCTTTCTTCTGCTTGGACAAAGAGCTACACCTACTCTCTGGCTACCTCCACCAAGAGAGAGAGAGAGAGAGAGAGAGAGAGAGAGAGAGAAGGGAAAATAGAGGGAGAGAGAGAGAAGGGAAAATAGAGGGAGAGAGAGCACAAAGATTTTGAAAAGAAAAATTGAACTGAATTTTATTCATTCCCTCTCATGTGCGTAAACAATACAAGTCACCCCTATTTAAACTAAAATAATCCAAGGGAGTAAGGGACCAAAAAGGTAATAAAATAGCCTCAAGACTAAAAATAAGACCAAAATTAATATTTCAAAAAAGAACATTAGCTTTTACTGTAAACATGATTAGACAATTCATGCAAAATCCAAAGCAAACTCACATGCAAGCAGTAGACAGAATACTGCACTACGTCAAGGGGAATCCAGGAAAAGGGATTCCCTTCAGAAGAGAATGTGGAATAACACCAGAAGCATATAATGATGTAGATTACGCACGATCACCAACAGATAGACGAACTACCCCAGGTTATAGCACATTCCTTAAAGGAAACCTTATCACATAGAGGAGCAATAAAATGTGGTGGCAAGGTCAAGTGCAGAAGCAGAGTTTAGAGTTATGGCCTTAGGTATATGTGAGATACTATGAGTGAAGATGATTCTGGAAGACCTAAGGATAAAGTGGGAAGGACTCATGAAGCTACACTGTGACAACCAATCAGCAATCAGCATAACTTACAATCCAGTTTAGTAAGATAGAACCAAGCGCAAAGAAGTTAACATACATTTCATAAATGAGATATTGGATAGTGGTCTTATATGTATCTACCATATCTCATCAAAGGATTAGCTTGCATATATTCGTATTAAAGGACTTAACAACTCTACTTTTCTGGGACTAATTACCAAATTGTAAATGACATATCTGTATTCTCCAACTTGAGGGGGAGCATTAGATCCCATCCATCCCTTGGCTCTTGATCCCACGGCCAACATGGTGATCTATGGGAGGCTCACCTGGATCATGCCAATCCCCTTCCCTATTTGGGTGGCTGATTTAGGAAGGATTATAATAGGATAATTATTTATGATTATGTAGTTATTTGTTTCTTTATTAAGATATCTTGTATATATCTATAAATAGGAATAGTTTTGTGCAATAATATTTAATTTTTTCCATCTCCAATTCTCTGAATTTAACAAAACGGAACCAATGAACCTTGCTCAAAGCTTACATCTATAACTCATTAAAATATTTACTTGCTCAAAGCCAAGTACCATCCCATCCAGTCCTAGACAACATATTTAGTCTGGTTTAATGGCTGTACCACTAGAGTAAACCAATAATTGACTAATGAGTGGCATCAAGCTCACCACCAATCTATTACTTGTCCTTCCCATCTAATGCATGAACCTATTGTTGCATGAGAAAGCCAACTACTAAATCAGGCCAATTATGAACGACCAGCAATTTTCATGCCAGAAAGGCAGAAACTATGGGTTCTGTCATTTACCACAATGGCCAAAGGATATATTTATACAATTGCCTTATAATCTTTTTAATGCAATTAAATAATAAAAAAATTTACTTAATTGCAGAATGAACAAAAGAAATTTTGATGAACTACAGAAATATTCATATATAGCTCAACATAAATATTCTTTCGAGGACCAAACTACCATGATGACCCAAATATTCTAATTCAGGCATAAACACTATCAACTCAATCACCTGGTCAATCAAGCAAATAGGCCAATGACTAAAGTTTGTTCTTATTATCTCCCAAATGATCTAAGATTTTTGTTGAGTCATCGTCTCAATATGCGCATTAAAATATAGCTACATAAAAAATCAAATTCAAGTTAAACTTGAGACTAAGCAGCATTCTAAATTATTGCTCTCACACAAGTGGAAGGGGTTATTAAACATGAGAGCTTGCACCTATACGAAGCATCGACTCGATATCTAGATAAACCTAGCACAGCATCAAGGGAAATCTAACAAAAAACAATATGCAATCTACTTCAAGCAAAGTCTAGAATTTTCTCTCTTGAATGCTCTGAGGAGAAGGGCTTTTTTTTATGAACTGTCAATTATTACTGAGCAATTTTCAAGATTTTCAATCAAAACATGTCAGATTCAATTGACTCTTCTGAATTTTATGGTTTATCTTGTTCAAGTAGAATTGGTATAGCTTAATTTATTTGACATCACCTTTCAGTAATAATTGACATGACCTTTTATGGTCGCAGAGCTTAATTTTCAGACTACCGATATTCCCAGCCCCATGCGCAGGGAAGCTGCTAGAAGAGCATAAAAGACAACTGGAACATAAATAAGTGACGTGAAAATCATTTTAATTAAATAAATTTAACAACTGTGCTAACATATTATTCATTTGCTTACAGATAACAAATAAAGGTAATTAATATCAGCGCATTAAGAAACCAAAACATTTTGCTTAAATTATTGAGCTTTGCAAGTCACCAGAAGTAGTGTTAATTAAGGGTGCACATTCTAATTCTAAACTAAATTAGCAGTGCAATACCTGACCACCAGATTCTGCATAGAAGCTTGTGCTTTCCAGGATAACTCCAAAATCAGAACCAGCATCAGCAGTTTCTACAAATTCAGATCCATTATAGATAGCCTTTACAACTGTTTCATGAGCCTTCAAAGCGAGAAAACTTCAAATTAGCACTGCCTGATAAAATAGTAGAACGGCAAAGTAAACAGATATAAGGAAGAAACCACCAAACAGTAAAAAAATATCCCCTATGTTCAATCTTGAAAAAACAAGAAAGTGGTCTGAGGAAGGAATCAGATTGTCATGGAACTTGGAGTCAAAAGGCCAGCATAGTAAGATAAAAAATCATAATTTGATAAAAGAGGAACTGAAGCTAAGATAGTCTCTACAAGCATACCAAGAGTGCAGTAGAACAATGCACAGTAAATTCACTTAACAAGAAAAATTACTGAATCAGATAGTGGTACTATACTATTATATGACGTATTCTAATGTAGGGGTGGCAATATTCAAAAGTCGCTTAAATTTTGAATCAAATTGAAATGTAAGTCATTTCAAGTTGAGCCCTGCTTAACCTAACTTGGGTTCTTATTAAAGTCCAGTTAGAGCCCAATGTAGCTTGCTCTTATTTTTACTATAAATATAAAAATATTTTTTTTTAGTTAGCTGAGTGGTTAAGTTAGATCCTTTTTTGGTCTTCCATTTGGTTTAAGTTCAATTCTTTTGGTCATCCATTTGGTTTAAGTTCAATTCTTGGTGTCTCATTTTTTTTCCCCACTATAAATACGACTAAAGAAGCGTCAATGCATTACCCAATTGACAGTTCAGCCTCTACATCTTCATAGAGATGAAATTGTTTCTAATATACAAGAAGGCAACAGTCATGATCCACACAAGGTGGTTAAGTGTCATGAACCCCAAGGCTATGCAATAAACTAAGATTAAGGCTTTCTAGTTTCTTGTATCTCATTCTCTCCTGACATACTCCATCAGTTCTGCTGTTCATTTCCTTTAACAGTTATGTGGCTTTAAACTTTTTGATTCTCAAAGGAAAAATCTAAAAGCTAAGGAGGAGAACCAAAGGAAACTAGCGTGGGTGCTTGATGATCAAGGGCTTCATTACGCAAGTCTTCTTCCCTTTACCCATGCCATCTCTGTGAAAAGCTTTGGCCAAAATATAATAGCCACAACAATTATATGAAGGATTGATAGGAAACAATATCAGGATTCACTCAAATATCGCTTCTTTTATGTTGTTGGAATGAAGGTCTCACTATTTAGATAAGCATTTGGCTTAACCATTACCTCGTTTAAACTATCACTATTCTTCTTAAGTGTATCTCTCTTTCTCTATTGTTCATAAACTTTCAACTATTGTCCCTCTAGGTCTTTTGGTCATCCATTTGTCGTTGCCAGGTCCCAAGTTCTAGATGAGAAAAGTGGAGGGTTGCGTTAGGTAGTCGACAGCCAGCGTAAAACGTGTCGAATAATCTTGACATGGTTAGATTTAAATGAAAATTTGACTTTTAACCGGACATAATGGCGAAAAAGGATTCATATAGCCGACCAGAAAGGCTTAATGTTGTTGTTGTTTCCTTTGGTTTGTTCATTAGGCATGTTCTCCTATGTTTGTATTCCTTTTTTTGTACTTCTTGATTCCATTATTTCATATTATAAAAGCTATTTTAATTTCATTGTGATCTGTGAGACAATATTTTTGTTACTTGCTAGCAAATTCTTCAACCCACATCTGACATTTACGTCTAAATTTTGAGAGAACTCAATCGATTCAACCCAAATCATAAGCATTTTGAGTGAAGAAGCACAATTTTGAGCCAACTCAGAATTATTTTAAGTTGGTTCAGAATCAAGCCATTGACACAAATTGAACAATTGTTCTAGCTAGAGATGGACTAAACTCAAATATTTCAAGTTCAGTTCAGGTTTAGTTCGCTTGAACTAAACTCGATTCCACCCTACTCCAATGCAAATCAACAGTCAATATATAAGGATCAAAACGTATAACAAAAACTAGGCCTTCTAACCTGGAACCATACAAACTTGTGGCTATCATTAGTTGGATTCACTCCTTTTAAATGCAATTCTGATGTAGCCTCAGCATCCAGTGCAATTACATCACCAACTGCCTGCCATATCAATTTAACATTAAATAGAAAGTAATGTGGTTGGCATCCCAAGTTGCTTACTGTTTACGTTAAATATGGTATCTATGCTGTAATAAAACAAAAAATAAATAGAAAATATAGTTCAGGAAATAATTTATGTAACAATCAGCATACTTAACATTTATGTATGCATAAACATCTGATATTTCTAGTGAGATAAAATGATGACTTGACTTCCAACCCGTGAACTTTAATACAAGTATTCAAAGATGCATATTCTGGTATATGCTGATATTTGTTCTCCCTATGAGGTAAAAGGCCGGTTGAATAAAACAAGGAACAAGAATACCAAAGCAAGGAACAAACAAATTTTTTTAAAGGATTCGAACCATAGTTTCAAAGTTTTTCAAAACAGAGAGTTCCGAAAAGTTCCAAGGTGGCGGTTTTGGCGCTTACTGATAGCAAGTTTGAAACAATCACATACAAACATGTGAGCCCTGCCTCCAGCCTCACTTACAACCACCAATACTTGTGCTACCTCATCAATGAAATTTTGCAAGTCAATCCTACCAATGAAAAAAATAAAAGCTCTCCACTCAAGCAATTTGAAGATACAATTTCCAGTGCTTAATAAGAACAAATAACTATTACACAATACACATATTTATGCTTCACCATAATCAAAGTTCAACAGTCTCTCCCCAAGAAAGAAGTTCAACTTTACAGAATTTACACCATTTTCAATTCTCAATTAGCTTATCTTTCTTAATGAGTTTGACACTTCATATTTTTCAACCTCTTAGAACGCTTTTAGCAAAAGAAGCATAAATAAATATGTAGAATTGTGTACATGCATTCAGCTTTTTAAATAATGTTAAACAGGGAAAGTCACATGTTGAATAAACTTATTATCGCATAAATAAAGAACGAAAAAAGAAGAATCCGGGTAGTATAGCTGCAATTCAAAAATAAAATAAACAAATATAAGTAATGGAAGTCGACCTTGCTTCGAGCATTTCTTGCCTTCTCTCTAGCGTCCTCCATAGCAACATGGAAACCCTCAACATCTACGATTAGGCCCCTTTCTTCAGCCATCAACTAATAGGAAAGAAAAAGACCTTATTGGAGCCTTTCAAATAATCAAATTGTTCAAAGATATCTTGAAACTTAAGATTAATTAGGCAACACAATCACCTCAGTCAAATCCACGGGAAAACCATAAGTGTCCCACAGAATAAATGCCTCCTGCAAGAAATGGATGGTCTTTGAGTAATAATAGGTGAACAGAATATCAGAAATTAGAAGTGTGCAAAAGCAGGAAAAAAAAAGGATATAACCATGCATCAAAATTATTCTCGTCTGCAGAATTATACTATTTTCATTGGACAATTCAGAAACAATGACAGTAGGTGGAGGCAATTTGGAGACATTTTGCATCCTTTATTGGTTTCTTACAAATTTCACGCACCTTTTTAAAGATCTGGTTGTTGGAATTCAAGCAAACTACCAAGAAAAATACATGTTATTGAAACCAATAAACAGGATAATTGCAGCAGAAGAAAATCTAAAAGAGGATAATTCTTCTTGGGATTCAAAAATTTGGCTTGATGTTGCCAATATAATAACCAATTTATTTTAAACTGAAAAAATTATATAGATGGAATTGTCGTTCTCAATAAATGTGTGCAGCATGGAAAATTAAGGATATCTAAGTTGAAATGCAAACTTTTTTATCCACTGACCAAGCAAGAGCATGGACCCTAACCTAACTGATTCTGATGACGATTAAACATTTGATAGGCAATATAATTGTTAAAAGTGATAAATATGTAGCATAATTTAATCCTCATCCATAAGGTGAACAGATCTCTACTGTGGAAACAACTGGAAATGTACAGAATCTGAAGCAAAAATTGAAACCTCAATTTCATTCAGCATGTAAATAAACGTTTTATTCAGAGGTATAGCCCACACAGGGATGTTGATCAAGATTACCTTCACCAATGTTCTTCCAAAGCTAGCCTCCTCCTCTGAAATGATATCTCTAATCTTCTCCTCATGCTGCTTAAGCTCTGGAAAAATGTCTCCCATCACGCTCACCACAACACCTACAAGACTAACCACCATCGATAATCTTAAGATGGCGATGCCACGTCTGGAAAGAAATATATATATCTAGCTTTTCAATAGTAGTGGAAGTAAGAAATTTTCGAATGTAACAAATTCCATGACAAGCAGTATGAAAGGAGAAAAAAAGATTGGCAAACAAGACCCGAGCATAATTCATCCTAACAATCTCAACTATGTCCATGGGCATCACGAACCCTTGTCAATTAAGAGAAGACAAAAAGCAACGGTTCTGATGAATCTTTAAGTGACAATTGCAATAATCATAAATCATCAATAGCACTAAGACGATTAACAAGAAACTAGAATTATTGAAAAAAACCAAGCAATCACCTTTGCATCAACACAACATATTATGCACACCAATCACTTCAGCGTCCTTTACTAAATGTATAATTCAATCTTTATTATTAAAAGATAATGCAGTTTTGACAGAACAATAAGGTCACGCAAATTGCTACAAAAAGGAAGAGCTCATAAGAAAATGTTTACCCTAAACAGTTAAGCAAGAGTGGTCCTGGTCTCATCATTGCATGTTTGGTCATGCACACTTCGAACATCATGTTGTAGTAGAGAGTCCTACCATAAACCTAACTAAATTCTGACAGTCTCTGACTCACATTTTGCACTTTTTCACAGAAACCCAAACTTTATATGTTTCAGGTTAGTCAACTATCTTTCTACATGGATCCCATGTTCATCTTCCAAAGTGAATTTTGAGTCTAGAGTACGAAGATGTAAGATCATTACTATGTCACTTCACCAGCAGCAGTTACAAATACCAAAATCCAGTACAAATTTTCGGTTCATTTGATTTATATGAAAAAAAAAGAGTTTGCATGACCAAAAAAAAAAACTAACGTGATAGAATCAGAAAAGAACAAAAAGCCTTAAACAGTCCAACTAACATTAAAACAAAACTATTTCTGCATTATGCTCCCTCTAAATTTAGTCAATAATCCTATTTAGCGAAAGGCAGTAGAAGCATAAATTTTAATATGGTAATGTCATGAATGCTTAAAACTCGAAAATTCATTAGCTAAAGAATGATTGGGAAGAAATGTGTTAAAGTGTTAGGAAATACTTGAAGATCTCAAGTAACCCTAACAAGAGAAACAAAAACAGCCAGAAAACTCCACAAATCCAATTGAAAACCAAAGAAAAACAATAGTTTTATTGCAAGAATCAAACTAAAGGAAGAGAAATAGCAATATACAATTGATCCTCAATTCGGGAGGAGGATCTATCTCTCCCAATCCCCAGATGCTGCTAGAGCCCAAGACACCAAACTCAAAGAACAAGAATAGCCCAAATAATTTGCATAACCCTAACCCTAATTCTCTCTTCCTATTTAAAGCAAACAATTAAACAACAAATACCCAAACAACCCTCTTCTAATTCCCACCTATTCCCTTAATTATTTCTCTCCCAAATCATCCCATAAATATGTCCTTTTCAATTATAAATCATCTGGTACTATTGCAATTTCATTCTGGACTGACCGGTGTATTTGTCAAGTGCAGAGAAGTAAAATGCTGGCATACAAACAAAGCAAACAGCAAAGTTCTACACTCAAGAAAATAAATGAAACATATTGCACTACACATAGCAATTTTGCATTCAAGCTTGAAGAACTCCCCATCCCCATTTCCTTACAAGACCTAAATTTGCATGGAATCAGATAATTCCAATACCAGAGGATTCCGAACTATCCAAATATTTCATAACCTGATTTATTAGATCATAAGGGATATGCTTGTTATGCAAAAAGTTGCATACATGTGAAGATTACATTTCTGGTATATTTCTCAAAAATAATGAACTAAATGCAGTGTCAACATATAGCTTACAAAAAAAAAAAAAATTGTATATCTCAAATCAAAGAAGGGGAGAAATTTCACGTCTCCCCTCCATTTAACAAGTACTTACTGGCTGAAAAATCCTTCTGGGGCTTTTAAAACCTCTCTACCATAACGTACGGCCCTTCGAAGAATGCGCCTCAATACATATTCACGCCCCTCATTGCCTGAATCACAAATGTTCCTTCTCAATGCAAGAGTATAAATAAAGACAACAGCATTAACATGTAAAAATAGCAAATGAACTGCACGATTATAGAAGACCTGCATCACATAAGATTCATGATGCAGAAACTATCAATCAATTGGATCCAACTTTTCAAACTGAACCTCTCAAGACAAGTTGAAGGTTGACCCACGCTTTTTAATTGGGCTAAAAATCTAAAATTTTTTCAAGGAAAGCCTGATTCGTTAACTAGACATAATGGCTACTTTGTTCTTATTTTTGCGAGCTGGTATTATCATACTTTGTTTTCATAAATTCATTATTTTAATTGAATAAATTGCTATATTCAGATTAAAGCAAGAATAAACTCTAAATGAGAACAAACAAACCACAAAATTTTTCTTTAAAGTTCTATCTGATCGATGTTGCATCAGCAGGCATCATCCACGTTTGAGCATACATTTTCTGGATAAAAAAAAAGCATATATGACAGGGCTAGGGAAAACTTCAAGAATAGGAAAAACATGAAATTCCACAGGAGAGTTACATTACTTTATAGCACTGCCCCAAGATATGCTAGCACATGAAAGTAAAAATAAAGCACAACACAGACTCAGAATAGTGTCTTATTGACTAACAAATTGGTCAAAGTGTCGATAATTATATAACTAGTTGAGCATGTAATTACCAGGACGAGAACCATCAGCAATAGCAAATGAAAGTGTTCTTATATGATCAGCCACCACCCTATAGGCCATGTCAACTTTATCAACATCATCTGCCCCAACCTTTCCTGAGTATGGTTGAGCTCCAGTCGCCTGATGTTAAAAAAAAAAAGTAAAATAGAGAGCATCATGAGTTATACGCCTCCTGCAAATGGTTAGATGAGATGAATTACTGGCCTTCAAGTGCAAAGTATTACTTGTCAAAAGCATTTGTTTGGCATAATAACAAAACATTTTTACTAGCAAAATGATAGTGAAGTATCTCTTTAAGGAAAATAAAAATACTGGAATAACACCAAGGTTATATACATACTTGCTGGATAGCAGCAAATATTGGCATGAACACATCAGTGTCATAATTGCTCATTTTATTCTGCAGTATAGAAGTTAAACGCTCAAACCCCATCCCTGTGTCAACATGTTTTGCAGGTAAGGGCTTTAAACTGCCATCACCCTCTCTATTAAACTGAAAAGAAAAATAAAATATACGAGTATTGATATCTTAAAACCATAAATAGACAAATAGTAAACTGCATGCATAAATAATAAAATCAAGTCTATGTGGGTTTTAGCACACTATTTAAACTAGCACATAGAATTCTCATTCAATATACCTGAATAAATACAAGGTTCCATATTTCTATGCATGTTGGATCATCATTATTGACCAAAGCAGAAGCATCACGGTTACCAACTCGGTCAAAATGAATTTCAGTACAAGGACCACAGGGGCCAGTATCACCCATCTCCCAGAAGTTGTCCTGTTCATCACATGATCAGCAATCAGAGCCAGATTATGAAAATAAACTAAAATAAAAGAGGTACAAAACAGTTCCCACCAATCATTACTCTGGGAGGAACAGAAAAGCCTACAAGAAAATTAATTGTCAATTTGAACTAAGGCCTATAATTCAACAAGGGAAATAGTAAACAGTCCGCACAAAAATACAACAACAACAACATCATCAAGCCTTTGTTCCACTACGTTGGGTCGGCAACATGAATCCTTTTTCGCCATTGTGTCTGATTAAAAGTCAAATTCTTATTTAAATCTAATAAAGAAATATCATTTCTAATATTTTCTAACCAAGTCTTTTTAGGTCTACCTCTTCCTTTCTTAACATAAGTCAAATCTAATACCTCGACTTTCCTAACTGGGTCATCGGAAGGCCTCCGTTTAATGTGACCAAACCATCTAAGGCGACTCTCTCTAATCTTATCTTTCACTGGAGCTACTCCAACCTTTTCACGTATATGCTCATTTTGTATCCCATCTCTAAGGGGTCAAGCCACTCATCCACCTAAGCATTCTCATCTCTGCAACACTTAACTTAGTATTATGCAAGGAAAGTTAAATATTTTCCATGAGAGTGTTTAAGTACACTTAGAAACAGAGTAAAAGCAAAATCGAACAGCTACTAAGAGCACAAGATTGGTATTCTTCCCAAAAAACATTATAATTGTCGCTAGCTTTATCCAAATTCTTCCCTTATCCCAAATCTTCCCAAAAGTAACTAAGCCATAACGTTTCTATTCTAGGACTTCAAACTTTTGACAGGTATGTATGCAATGCGCTTAAAGTATCCTATCAAAGACATAACTTTGCTCGTGCATAAGAAGAATCCCCGAAGACCTAAAGGAAAAACTAAAAGCATTGGAACAAGAGCTTAGTGATGCTAAAGAAAAACTTACATAAGAAAATGTAACCATAATGTTTAGGGATGTAGTAACAGAGATAAGAACTTAGCATTCTTGACAAAACATTTAAAGAACATGTTTTGTTTATTTCATCCCTTTTAGGCCATTTTGGGTTATATGATGCCTATGTGATACGAAACTTGTTACAATAGTGAAACATGCATGTCACTTATTGCTATATGGACCCGCCCTCAAAGAAAGTCAAGGATAGGCAATTTCTTGCGGCCCACAACCAAACATCAAACCTCTAGCCATGGCCATTAGATGGAGTACCCAAAAAATGTTTATTATTGAAGATGCACAAACATTTTAATGTCTTAATAACTAATTTTTCTAGGACTAACATTACAGATGATCTCCATGCATATTAATACAGAAATATATTTATCGCCTTGCAGATATATTCACATATTCATATGTAAATTATAAATATAAGTAATTAGGGATGCCTTTACATGTTATGTCTGTACCATGTCTGCCTAAATCATGCTAACGATTATAATGACCTTGAATGTACGAATAAATCATGTGGGTGCACGTAATTGCATTAAATTACTGAGGTAATAAAAAAGTATATAGACCAGATACTCCAGCACTCTTCAATAAATATAACAGTATGTCTATACACTCATCATCATTGTCAGACTTCATTGCTAACTACAGGGAATCAACTTTATCAATCCTGTTCCCTCCAATGTTTGATATTGGGTTAACTGTTAACGCTAGTTTACTTTTTTACATAAGCTTTAACCCTGCAACTTTTGGTCTAAACTCTAAACTCATCCTTCATATTCATCGCAAGTTAATTATATTGAGCCTTATTAGTGCAAATAAAAAAAATATAGTTTATAGATGTTAAAACTATAAACCGATACACTGAAAAATAAAACATAGTTTATATATGTTAAACCTACAAGCCAATACACTGAAAAATATGCTAAACTGACAATACAAACATATAAAATAAGAGAGATAAAACAACATGAAAGATGCATGCATTGGCATTCATTCAACCCTTCATCCATCGTCATGTCCTTTCATACATACCAGAGCTTGCACATTTCTTTTTTAATACACGAACGCATATGCAACATGAAATCATGTGCACGATTTGGAAGTTTAACTTATATAGATTTGGTACAATGAGCAGGACCTAAACGTACTTGTTTGCATGGCCTAAAGCACATAAACATGTAAACATGGCATATAGTTTGATTTTAATATTCATAAGCTATGCCACTGGATGATTGAACTTGTGCATATGACCAATCATTTTTTCGCCTTGGATGGTAATTAAATAATTATTATCCATAAGATGGACAACCTCAACTCCCTTAAGTCTAACAAAAACTAGAAATATACATACACCATGTACATACAAGCATCCAAACTAATGTAGATTCACATAGTAATGAATTAGATCAAACAAACGAGGTGACCTATAAGGTGCTATTTTAGTTGGTGACACCTATCATCCTAGGTGAAAAGGTTAGAGTAACTGCAGTGGCATATAAGATTAAAGAGAGTTGTCTTAGATGATTCGATCACATAAAACATGATGCAATAAAAAATTTGGAAAAATCTAAGAATGCAAACATATAGAGTCTTCCTTTCATAAACGACAAAATAACACAAGAAATAACACACTACAACTTTCATATATTTTAGAACATAAAAACAACTCCTAAAACAGCTTTTCATTGGTTGAGACGAAAGATACAAATGGGGTGGACACTTTCGGAGAGAAGATTGAGATAAGAAGCCTGAGACGAAGTCATAGAAGGAAGAGAAGACGAAGAGGCATAGCTCGCAAGCTATCCAAAAACCCTCAGGTTTTAGTTCCAAAAATCACTCAATAACACTCTTTTTTTCATGCATCAAAACAACCCTTTTTTATAGGTGAAAAGAGGTAGCCAAACAACCCAAATAACCTCCAGCCGAAGCAACTGGGAAAAAGGGAGACAAAAGGTCAAAAGCCATTGCCTGGAGCGGCACCTGAAAGGTCACGTGGGAGGGATAGGAACATCCAGCCACGGGAACAGGAACAGCCAGACACGGGAACAGGCGCCAGACAGAGAAACCAAAAGGCCAAATAGAGAGGGAGAGAGGGGATGAACCCGGACCAACCATTATGAGATGAAAAAGGCATTTATAACATCATAATGATATGAGTTTAGTAGAAGAACACAACAGTACACCAAAAGGGCAGCATAATCTGAGACAACGAAGCCCAAACACGGAACCAAATCAGCCCAAGAGCTGACCCCCCCCCCTCTTTCCTTTTGCCTACATCAAACCGTCAACCTTCCAATGACCCCACTAGGAGAGTAGATGTATTAGATCCAGACTATGTTAAGAAAGGTAGAAGTATATCAAAAAACACTTAGTTAGAAAGTATTAGAAATGACATTTTTTTATTAGATTTAAATGAGAATTTGAATCTTAAGAAGATACAATTTAGAAAAAGAATTCATGAACTAATCAGTATGGATCCCACCGCCTTGGCTGGCAGATTGAATGCCCAAGGTGATTCGGCGAAATTCCAAGAGCCGAAAGGCTCTTGTTTTGTGGATCAGAGCACCTCATTTCAGACCTATAGGAGGAGAAGGATTAAGGGGAGATCATAGGAGGAATGTGAGGTGCATTTATGGTGGGATTAGGGTTGATTTTAAGAGGGAAAGTTTGTATGTGGGGTATATGATGTGAAGAATTTTCTGCAATAGTTTTCTTATGTGATTTTGGGTTCCTAGTTGCTGCTAGGAATTGGAGGAGAGTCAATTTAGCTCTCGAACAGTAAATCAATTGTATCTTGTGTTTCTTTTTATTGAAGATTATTATTTCAACATTATTAGTATTGTCCTTGTATACCATTGTTGTCTTTTTCTTGGTTGGTGGCCAATTTTTTGTTGTTTTGTGCTGATGTTGTTCTAGTGGTTGTTTTAGGTGCTGATTTGATCCCCAAACCATAACACCCACATAGTAGGATCAAAGCTTGTTGTTATTATTGTTGTTGTACACCTTCTATCCTACAAAATCAATCACCAAACACAATTGGATAATCAAAAAAGCTTCTCATCTATCTCTATCTTTTATTCTTCATTCATTGTTGCTAGTTTATTCAAATGCCCCATGAATGCCTTCGAAAGTTTGTTTTGAATAAGAGCACTATACAACTTGATTCTCCAAATGTCAAAACTCTTCAAACCATCAAATTCCATTATATCAAATTCCATGGCCATAAACCCAAGCTCTGATGCCAATTTATTTGAGCGAAATGTTTAACTCAAGTGAAATACAATGAGCCATAAATAAACACAATAGTGAGATTAATGGCGCATAGGAAGAGCATAATTTATCTGCTCACCTTAAATGTAGCCTACATAAATGGGAAAAAAGAAAGAATTTGATCCATTAAAAAAGAAACAAAAAATAATATATAAAATAAAGACACTCGTCAGTTCTTCCCAAAATCCAAGTACACCCAACTCTCAACAATATGAAGCCCAAGAAACGCTCACAAAAAAGTTTACCTCAGACCTTGACACTCGCCTCCAAAACCAAGTTGGTCAAAAATAGTTGTTTTCTTCCATCCTTGTTGAAATCCTCATGTAGTTAGCACTCAAAGCCACAAGGCTCAAAACTGAGTTTTATGAATCACGAACATGATACAACATGAACATGACGATAAAGAATAATTGCAAAGAGGACTCAACACACTATGGACATGTTTTTATGTTTTATAAATTATTAAAATGAAATATATAATTTCAACTATTTTCTACTAAAGAAATCACAAGATGAAGTATAATATCATTAATAATAAAATAAATACTTTATAATTGAGCATTCATTAATCATTTAATCCTTCTTCAGCTGTAAATATTTTTCCAATATCGATATTGCTTATAAAATGTCAAAAACCTCCAAAAATTTAACTACGTACCATGTTGAATTAAGCTTCTCATATGACACATTTGAAGGAAGTAAATTGTCTTTTTCTAATAATTTTGTACATGATATATTGCAAAAACTATCCTTAAGTGAAAAGAAAAATTATTGTTTT